GTTCCTTACCTGGACCGGCGAGGGAGGAGAGTGCCAGAACGTTGTAACTTTTAGAGGAGGTTTATAAGTGACTTTATCAAGAAAAAAAAATATATAAATCACCATGATCTTCAGAATGTAAGTAATTTGTAGGTGGATGAAAGTATTTGATCCAGAATGTTATAGGAAAGTCGTTCAATATGTGGTATAAGGTAGTGGCAGAGTTGGGTAATAAAACCTAGATGAAATGATAGAACAATACAAACCAAGACAGTTCTTCTATGGCAATGTGTGTGCAAATGCTTCCCAAAAGTGCTATACGTAAAAGAAAAGGGAAGATGGCTTACTTTCGAAACAATTTTGATTTATTTTCTCATGAAATCCATTGCTTTCAACGATTCTAGGCATTGTTCCTTGTGCAAATGGGCGACCTAACCCAACATCTAATCTACCCTAACACCGTGGTATGTTCCCTAGCCAGGGGGCTATATACCTAGCACCCTTGGAGCATTTGCACACCTATTGCTATAGAACTGTCTTGGTTTGTATTCTATCATTTCGTGTAGGTTTTATTACTCAACTCTTCCACTACCTTATACTACATATTGTCCGGAAAGTCTTGCGGTTACTGCATGAAGGAGATAAAAATTTTCCACAGCACCACGAAGGGGAAATGGCGTGATGCTGGTGATGAAAGTAACAAATTGAATTTAATGGAAGTGGCATGTATTCTCATTCGTTTATCCTTTTAACATGCATACGTGACACCACGCAAGGATATGTAACTAAGTCTTTCCTATCTGTGGTTTAGCATTGTCATAAGACTGCAATGAAACCCCGAAGAAAGAAGTCCTCGTGTTGACGTTGGCAATACGAGCAATTTTTTTAAAAACTGGGTTAAGTGCTTTGGTTTTGGCTTCTGTTCTAATCTGCGTCCCGCTGTGCTGTCCACCTACACTAATACCATTTCAAAAACCAAAACCGCCTTAAAACATTCAATCAAATCTTGCTGATCCAACCGCATTAATTCCCCTTCTGCCACCATATAGACTTAAAACAAGGAAGATAGCGTGTTGTCATCTTACTAAGCTATCTCTAGCTTTCTGACGGGAAATTATAGCGGTTTGTTTCTGATGCAGGCGGTACCGCAGGCAAGGCAGGGTCTCGACTTGCACAATGTTGCTGTTGTTGGTTTGTGTTTCTCTAAACCACATTACAAGTAAAACAAAAATGTAACGGCTAAAATTTCAAACCACTATGGTGTTGGAACAAAGTAATCCAAGGAGATAAGATGCCAGTGACACGATATAGCCGTGAGGTTGGTTAATCTTAAAGGTATGGACGCACTAAGAGGGCGAATGGAAGAGATTCTTAGGACTAAAAGTTGCAGTCGGTACAAGAAATCGTTTGCAGACACGAATGGTAATGCTGTAAATACAGGAAGATCGCGGAGAGCGCTAAGAACCTAAGACCACTCGATGCCCCTGAGTTTATTCTAACCGAGGTGAAGACCACGTTTCCTGGGGGGGGGGGACGTCGGGAAGTGCCCGAAGGATACGCCCAGGCACGGCAGCTTAGATTATTGAATAAATTGTGACGCGGAGTTGAGGATATAGTTTGTTACACGAGGTAAATTTTCCCGAAAATGGACGGTGCCTAAAATATTTTCATCTTGCTATTTGCTTCGCAAGTCGCTAATTTGTGCCACATAATACTTTGGTATAAATGTACTGAAAATGTAACGGCCATATAAAGAAAGGGGGGGGGGGGGGTAACGCTCACTGTTGCATGAAGTAATCTGCGTAGGCAAACCACGTCAGAAACAAAGAAAATAGCTCATAAACGCCACGCTTTTGGATTTTCCAGGAATAGCCGAAGTAACAGGGACTTGTCATCAGAGGGGTGCCGTCACTTCGTAAACGGTTACTGAAACTCGTTATCATTCACGGACATTACAACGTCCATAATTGAAACCAGGAATAATCGCCAGGTAGGATATATTAAACTAAAATTTACGGGATATTTTTATCACGTCATCCAACCTTGCAACTATTATTTTTTCAATTCACATTACAGTATGTACGAACCTCTTACTTCCCACTGCAAATGATATAAATCAAAATATTCGACTGTTTTCGAAATAACCGCACCCCTCTGAGAATAAAGCCACTCCAGGAAAATCCAGAAATATCGCCGTATGAAACGCACCTCCCTAACCCTGGGCGCCGTCCGCCGACCCCCGTCCGTCATTAGTCGCGATCAAATTTCATGAGGTTATTTATCTGCATAGGTTTTTCATGCATCAGCGAGCGTAGTTTTTCTTTTAGATAGTGCTATTACATTTTCCTGTAAATGTATACAAAGTATTAAGTCTTGCATACCTTTCTTAAACTTGCGGAGGAAATGCCACAGATGACGTTTTATTTTGAAACTCGGGGGCACCGAGTGGACTTCGGCTGTGAGCGACCGGCGTTTCCCGTGTTTTTTTTTGTGTGTGTGTGTGGTGTTACCATTCGTGTCTGCAGATTTCTTTTGCCGACGACGACAACTTTTTTGTTCTCTAAAAGAATACCATAAATTTGCCCTAGCATTGTGCGCCCAATTTGTAAAAATTAACACTAAGTATTGCTTATTGCAAAACCAACTTGCTATTTAAAAAGATTCTTAATATCCAGAAATAACGTTGATGAAATGTCTCTTATTTAATCGCATTAATTCAGAGATATCGTTCACGTTCCTGCAAAAATCTTTCTGGCAAGAAAGGCTGTCTATCTTCGTTTATTAGATAGGCAACCATTCCATATCATCTACACCAAGATTTGGGCACTGCCTAATAGCGAATGTGGTCCTACTCTGAACCTGAAATGCTACAATTGCACAGTACTTTGACATCGTTCATGTGGAAATTCTGCTAACATCAATTTACTGTGGTGAACCGTGATGCAGTATCTGCACCAAGTATTTAGCATCGGTTTGACTTGGTCCTTTAGATGTTGTTGATAAAATGCACCTTCAGCCAAATATATTCGAAGGCACCGAAGCAAATAAAATCCCCAAATTCTTGGACTGCAAAGACTAAAAGAACCTTTTCTTACAGCTTATCCTTCGCCTCCATCCTGCTGACCAGTCACGTGCTGGTGTGGGCTCAGGAATCGAGTGACCAGTCTACAGGAGCTGTGTGGACGCCGGGAAGGATAACGCAAGTACGTGTCATATTCCACATTTTCCCAGTTTGTTTGAGGCATGATCTATCTGTACCGGGTTTTTTATGCGTGTGCCTGTATGCTTTAGTTTTCTGCTCCAAGCCTGATATTTTTTTCATTTTGTGAACGCGTACCGCCAACCTGCATTCTGGATTGCCTTGTCATATTTTCCCGGACGAGACCAGCAGCACGGTGTCCGGGTTTTCATGAGAAACTAGTCAAATACTCACTTGAATGTTGGAAAGGTTGACATTTGCCGGAGCGTGTAGCTGGTAACAAATTATCTTCTACCACACGGCTTTTGTTAGATATGTAGAGAGCAAGCAATTACGGAATATAATCGTCTTGATAACCTTAATAGATAAGTTATTGGTGGATATACATTTGCAGTGGAATGTTTGTCAGTAGATAATTACATTATAAACAAACTCTGAAATTTTGCAACGGCATGGTTTGAATGGCAAACCCCCAGCCTTTTTGATATCAAGGTTGAAAACCTTTCTTTATACACTATATTTATTGATCTTATTGAAGGGGGGTCATCTTCAGGTCAGATTTGAATATGAAATACAGCATTTACATTTTTTTAATTTGTATATACAATTTTTGTCATACTAATTCTGTATTGCGCTCTAGTAATTATTCCAGGAATATATACATAGATTAAAATAATGCCATCCTACTGTTTATTAACTTTGTTTATTGGAGCATACATATTGCAAAGACATACATCTGAGCGAGTGGTTGTCCATTTAAATGACCACGGCCGTAAGTTGCAAACGCATAAATGTAAAAGATATGATGTGCAATAAATATCTTTGCTAGTTTGTTCTGGCATTAGGATTAACAGACATTTACCACACTAAATCGCTTGTAGCTGGCAAGTATTGATTTTTTTTGTTTAAGAGACGATCTTGGACCTTTTTCATGTGAATTTAGGGGCATAAAAGCTATAAATTAAATTGGATTATTAAGATCTCTTTAAAGGTTAGACGTATAGGAGTAACATAGGTGCCGAGGGGTACGGGAACCTCCTCCTTGTCCTGTCAGGGGTTAGGTCTGCCCTCGTATGGGTAGTGTGGAGCTCGCTATCTTGCCGCGCAACTTGGTCTCCTTTGCCGTGACGTCACGCTTGTTCACTATGCCATATACGCTTGTTTTCCGTGCCCACATACCCTTCGCCATTTTAACACTTCAGTGTATCATTATATTGCTTATGGTATGTTTATATTACGTTTTTTATTGTTCGTTACTTGTATAGTTTATGAATAACTTGAGGAGGCTACTTGTTGCAGTTTATCGTATATTGTCAATACGTGGCGGTGTTATTCAGTAGTATAAAAATGTTACTATTATTCATGTTTCAAAATCTGTCATATGATAAATTACGAACTTTCTGAGTACATTTTGACATGAGCCTTAAAATACTGTATACGTGTAAAAGTACGTAGGATTGATTATTAAAAATTATCTGCCGCGTCAACAGCTAAGGTCATTGGCGGCGGTAAAGTACGTGTGAAATAACCATAGGCCGACGGAGTACTCAAACGAGGTGATTCTAACTATACAGAGTATGTCGCAACCTTTTTTTAATTCTTAATTCATCAGTTCATCCTTCCTCCAACAGGTGACGCTGGCTATTGTCGAATCTGCGTTGCTCACTCTCCTGCTCATCTACCCCGGTATTATGGATCCTATCGTCAGTTTCATCAACCAAAACGTAAGATGGTTATATATTGGCTTTTTAAAAGAAGTTTCTATGTTGTGCATAACGTTGTTGTTTTTTCCTGTGTAAAATTATCGATGTTCTTGTATTAACTAGTATTAATACTGAAGACGTTACATTTTCTGATTGTGACCGATTATTTTTCCATTGTAAAAACGATTCTATGTTTTCGTTTAGATGTTTGTTGGAGAAACGATTACGTCTGATTAAAATGTACCTTGAATGTATACTTTAATGATCAAGTTGGTTGGGTTAGGCGACGCGTGTAACGGTTTGGAAGTTCAACGTTTTTAAATGTACGAGATAGACAAACTTGTTTATTAAAGGCAGTGATGTGGTACACAACCCAACGTTATAATTATCTGCAAAACTAGTACGGAATCTTTAATAAAAGTGCACTTTCCTCAATGTGTGTAAAGTCTCAAGGTCCTTGGGTTGAATATAGATTGTCGTAAATATCTTGTCAAATTGTTGGTTTGTTCGTCTTCCATAAAGAGACCAATCTCTGGAGAGTTAATTACATAGCGATTTTCAAAATGTTTTATTTCTTCCGCGGAATTTGACCGATTCCACCTTCATGTTTGAGTAACGTGATATGAAATGGTTAATGGTTAAAACTAACAAGTGAGCTAGACATCAGTCGTGTAGCACTATGGTAAAGTATAGTAATAGAAAGGGTTAGGAAATGAGTTAGTGATTAAAGTAAAATTAGAGGTTAAACAGTACTAACGGGGGTAGTGTGCTAGGGCGGTATAATTTAGCTCTTACCCCGCAAGGAAACCCTGAAACTTATTTCCAGCTTACCATGGCTAGTAATGAAGATTTTGTAGCCTTGTTAGGGGCACTGAGGTTTGCCCTTGTATCAACTAGCCTTTCTGAATCTAACTTCACTGGTTTACCGACCCCTGACTCTCCTTTGATCACGGCTCTGACCACTGCTACACCCCCCCCCCCTTCCTCAATTTGCTCAAAGAACTTGAACCAATCAGAATCCTCTACCCAGGCTATAACTCAACCTTCAAAAGACACTCCTTCCTCACTCCCGATATGCTCAACCCCCCCCCCCCCCACCTGCACAATCTTTTTCTACCTCCTCCCTTGTTACAACTTTTTAACATTATTGCCCTTACCGCACAGTACTATATCACTCCACACCATACCACCGTCCTCGCCCCCTCTACCATTCCCGCTTCTACAAATCTTTTGAGTGTTCTGTTTAGTTCGGCGAAGTGGGACCGCTTTTTCGTGGTTCCCCCAACAGCTCCTTGTTCTGGTAATACCTTCCTCTTTCAATAATTTCTCTAAAAACAAATAGCCAGTTCCTTTCCGTAATTGTCCCGTCCACTCACGTTTTGTCAGTCGTATCTGAGTCCCAAGCTCATGTACTATCTACCCTCGTAGACGTCACTGACAAACGCTTCCTGCCCAACCCCCCTTCTCCCTTAATACATGTACTGGAACTGTTGCCATATCCCCACCTGCCTTGCTGATTACTATGTAGTATCAGTACAGTGCTTCACCATCCGCCCCTAGAGGCAGCCCTAAGTCCCACGGCAATATTGCCAATATTACCTTTCGTAGACATGACCTTCCCAATAAGGTTTATATACGAGGAGAATCTCTTGTCAGATCACTTTCGTGTAGATTTATATTGCCTTTTAAAATTTGGTTAAAAACAATTAGGTGCCCACAATCTGGGAAAAGTAGGTATTTTCTGCAATGATAATGAACTCTCTACTGACATGGGATCAGATTACTGCAAAATACATCCTGGAACCGTTTTGGGAATGGAATCGGAAGTTGGACACTGCTTGCAACCCCAGACAAAATGTAGAGTAACCGTTGCTCCTCTTATAATTGGTTCTAAATTAGCAAAAACTGCATGTAGCTGAACATAGCATATAATCATTTTCAGCAGTGATGATAGAGCATAATAAGAGTACATATGTATCCATATAAATCACCATCACCATTTATTTTTATATATATATATATATATATATATATATATATATATACCAAGCTTGCCCTTCGTAATGTTGAACTTAACCCTTTTACTTCCAGATCGGGAGTGCCGGCTCCAGGAAGCGACGAAACGCGCGGGCAGCCATGCTCGATCAAGCGGCAGCCATTCACAACCTCTTCCTCGACGCCATCGACCAGTTCGAGGGTTTGGACGAAATGCTGTCGAGCCTTTGAGCATTCCAGATTCTTGATAACGTTCGTTAACGCTAAAACCATCTTAAAACCAGCGTTAATTCTCGCACTGACTGTACATGATTGTAGTAACACCTAACATCCATCAGACAAAACGTGTATTCAATCTACAAATAAAATCTGGATAATGGCGAAGTTGATGTCTTTGTACCCTTGGTGGGGCGCTCTGGCACCCTTGGTGGGGCGCTCTGGCACCCTTGGTGATTATTGAGTTATTTTTATTATAAATTTATAAAATAAACATTAATAACAGCAGAATATTTTCGTAAATCAAAGAAAAGGGTGAACGGGCGAGACAGGCAGTACTCGTAATTGGCTCATTGGTGACTTAGTACAATTGCAGCCATCTTTGTGTAAAAACAAACACTCAGTGGGTATGGCATGTATGTACACACCATGCCCATCAGCATTGGGTTAAAAAAAAAAAAACTTCACCCCCAAGTCCCACCCCATCACTCTATTTTGAATACGCCACTAATGACCTTGTTTATCTATTGAAAAACTGCCACGTCAATTGTTAAGGTAATGGCATCGCATTCAAAATATAGTTATACGAAGCCCCTGGTTAAGTTTTTTGGTTCATAAGGTAAGGTTTGTGGATTCCCAGCACTGTTCGACGGACAAAATCGTTACCAACTAGGAGTGGAAAGCGAAAAGGCTCGCTGATGGCGTCAGAGGCAAGCACCAAGTGGTGTACTGGACACTCCGTGTTCGCAGCATCGAAACGAGACAAACTAACTTAAATGGCTGAGTAACCAACGGACATCACCTTCGAACATTGTCCACCGGTCTATGCCCTGTGAGCAGCAGATTCTAAACGGTGGTAAACACCCTCATCTGGTACCATTGCTTGTTGCCAGATCTTCCATCGTTTCACCGCTTATGACGTCATCCTGCTTCTCCTGTGATATGGTAACGATTTTGTCTGTCGAACATTGTTCGATCGTGTAAACGCACCTTAAGGGTGATCACTCCCACTGGGCCTCAGTCTCTGCCTCCTAAGCCACCCCCCAGCAGCAGCAACAACAAAGGATGGAGGGAGGGGGGCTAATGACCTTATGTGATGGTTTTCAATAAATAAATGTACATACAAGAGATGATTCAGCACACTTAATTTCTGAAATTGCTGTTACATTCTAGAGTTCCTGTATCAACCTAGTTTTAACATTCTCCATACTCATTACCAACATGACTGATATTTTGAAATTCTATACATTTGCCCAAAAGAAATACACAGAGGCACACTACTCCCAGTTTTAACAATTTTAAAAAAATGCATAATTACAGCTGCAATTATCCTGTAAAATGGAAAATAAAAAGACCATTATATTTGGCATTTTATTTTCAAGACGACTCTTTGGTAACCTTTGAACTAAGGAACACTGGGGAGAGTTCTTAATATACGAGAATAATACCTCTCAAAATAGTCATGGAAAGATAGCTCCTCTGCCGAGAGATTCTACAAAGTTTCCATCTGAACTTACTTCCTTGTCTATCTTTTAATATCCAGAAGTAAATAAATTTTTGGTTACCCACGAATCTTCTTTCCAATTATAAACATTCTTATTTACTGATGCTCCAGTAAAGAAGCTTAATTTGCACTAACCTGATTCTAAATGGTCTAAAACTCACTCAATGATTACATTCAATATGGCTTCTATTTCAGTGGAATACATTTTAGAAATGTAGTTTTACAGTAAAATATTGTAATCCTATAGTGGTCATAGTCTGAAGCAATGCAATAACTTGTCCCATTAATTTGTGTTGGACAAATTGGGGCACAAAAGATGTGCTATTACAATAAGTAGGGCAAATATTGCATTTTCACCTTTATATACAAATGAGACCCCACATACACCATATCTCTAGGGTACAAAAATAGAATTTACTTTCAATCTTGCTTGTCATGAACTTTGCAATTTTATTTGCAAATTGCACGCATTCCAGATATCACGTTCCAAACAAGACTAAATATTCTCACAATGGTCACCTCATATTTAAAAAAAAAAAAAAAAAAAAAAAAAAATCCATGTAGTAAAACATCTTCAATTCTTATAGGCTTGTGAAAATATTATGATGTAAAAGTAATTTATATATTATCAATACAGATAAATGACTTTTCATGCAAAGCAGACTCCTCTATGTCACTGCTTTAATCCACTGACATTTCCTTTGCATGACATAGACTCCAACAGTATATGGTACAGCTAAAAAAAAAAAAAAAAAAATCTCTCATATGAATGAACTGTTTCCTACCAAATCATTGGGTACTCACTGCATAAAAGTTAAGTGGATTAATATACAACTGATATATACATAGAATTTGCACTTTCGGTGGACAAGGTTGGCTGCACTGACTCAGACTAAAATTAGACCCATTTCACTCAAACAAACAAATGAAATGGTGGAATTAGAGTTATAAAAGATGAAAGGAGGAAATAAGCAAGTCTGTGGCACTCAACAAAAATAAATTCACTGTTCATTGTTTTGCACATTCATAAATACCGGTACTACTTAAAATTACAACACCAGTCTTGAATATCATTCTCGTTGCTGGCTAAGAAATTTGAAGTTATCATTGAAAGAGCGCTACCATAAGTTTGTGTTTCTCCTGAGTATAGACATCAATCTTCGGGTTAGGTCTGGAAGAGAAAGACATAATATTAGTCAGTTGTCAAATTGTAACTTAACCCATTGCCGCCAGGGAAAATGAACAAAAAATGGGGGAAATATAGTACTCATTTATTATATTTTTGTGAAATATGTCTGTCCATAGATGGCTCTGCTAGTCCTGATTTCATCTTTCCTTGAATTGGCGGGAAACAACATATTTTTACTAGTGCTATAAATATAGATGGTGTTATTTTTGACAGCAAATTAGAATAACATTAAATATTTTCGTAAATCGATGAAAAGGGTGAACGGGCGAGACAGGCAGTACTCGTAATTGGCTCATTGGATACTTAGTACAAGTGTAGCCATCTATTTCGAAAAACAATCGAACAAGTCGGCTCACAGTGGGCATGGCATGTACATACATGCCATCCCCGGCGGCAATGGGTTAAAGTGATGTGAATATTTTACAATATGAACTCGCATATGGCTCATGAACATGAGAACTACTTTCGGCACTGTTATAAAAAAAAAAAAAAAAAATCATTTATATGGAAAAGTTTGTACAGAAAAGTAAAGGATGCTTGAAAGGTAATGCAATCAAATTCAAAATGGAAAATATCACAATTTGGAGAAAATATTGATATTACACTGCTCTCTAGTAGCAAACACATACAATTACTGCTATCACATAATATTTCATGGAAATGTCAAAAAATCAAAAGTTCCCCCAACTTACTTGGACAGGAAAAGCTGCAACGTGCTCTTTGTCTGCTCTGGGAAGAGGGGTGACGACACAATCGTAGCCAAGACAATCAGGCATCCTTTAAGGTCCCATTCTAATTTGAATTTCTTATCCTGTAAACAAGCAAGAATAATTAGCATATTTGGGAAAGCAATATCATATTTAAACAAATTTAAACGTTCTCTAATTTTTAGCATAATTTTTCTTTACAGGTTGATCTCCACTAAATTTGCTACCTGTAATTCCATTCCTTAATTAATCCAGCACCAGTATCAAATTCCCAGAGACCCATAATATTTTGCCTGGAGTTGAAAACTCTTGAAAACAGAAAAATGCTAAAGTTTATTGCAGAAGTCAATGCATATACATCTCCTAAATGCAAGTCAGTAATATCAAATAATGTGAAAAAATTAAGAGAAAATGTTGCACACATAATGCAAATACTTTCTCTTCTTAATTTCTTCTTGGTGACTTCCCTCACGCTAAACCAAACCCCATGCCAAACTTTACACACAGTCAGCCATTCAAGTGAAACATTAGAAGCATATGAATATGCCTTTACCCTACTCTGTAAGCTTTTTTGCTGCAGCATAAATGAAGGGAGAGAGAGCGACTTAAACCTTACTTTTAAGGGGCTAGTGCAAGTAGCAAGTTAAAGAATGGGTAATTCATATGCATGTTTTGATTTGCTAGATTCCAAACAGATACATGCCCTTCTGCAAGTATTTAAAACCAAATCAATAACTCAACTACAAGTCCTGCTTCTTCAAAATGTCTTAAAATCCTTTCAGAAGTTCAGACTGTAACCCCTTTATAATCTGAGCACCTCATTGCTTAAACAGAAGGGTAAGGTATAAATATTTTTTCCAGAAAATAAACATTTGGAGTGATTGTATAAGATATCAAACAAAATGTGGTATAAACAGACTAAACTTATGTAGCAATTCATAAAAATACATTTAAAGTTTAATTGCTTTTTATTATGTTTCTATTCCTTTGTTATCCAACTATTATTGATTCACTATAACTTTCAAGCATAATTTGCTACTTTCTGGAGATGATCGTTCTATGATTCTTCCTTCTTTCTTTCTTTCTTTCACAAACCCAGCTCACTTCTTCCCAATGATACCATATTACTAGTGGCTGATCTTAACTAAAAATTTATTACAGGGGCATTAAAGATGTTCCCCCCTATTTAGACTTGCTTCCACTGCCACTTCACTTACACATACATTAACCCAATACCTGGGACATGACCACTGGGAGTTTAGTTTATTAATTGTCTTTACACATAGATAGTTCGACAAGTGCTTACTCACCAAGGTTTCAATTACTGCACACGTGTGCACCCCCCCCCCCACACACACCAAAAAAAAAAAAAAAAAAAAAGGGGGGGGGGGGGGAGAGAGAAATCAGGTGAGGTCACCAAGGCTACTTATTGACTCCTTGGTGGATGAGCACTTGTGGAAGCACATTATACAAAATGCTAAATTGAACATTACAAGTTCCCAGTTACACTAACACATTAGACAGAGTAATCCTATTATTTGAATAATCCTATCATTTCTTTTACAGTAAAAGAACAAACATATTCACAAAAGTCCAGATTACATAAAGAAATAACATCTACACAATATAATAAACTTACCTCACATTTAATGAGTCCTAAATGTACCAGAAGACTGTTTGTTGCAAGGGAGAGTGAATCACTTTTCTGGGCTGCAGCAAATGCTGCCTTAGCCAGCTGTTCTGTAGCAGCATTTACTGCCTTCTGAACCTGAGTTAGTGGTTCAAGGTAAAGGGAGTTTATATTTAATCTCTGAAGAGTATATTTACTGAATATTCCATAATCCATAAGAATGTTAAATTTCTAGGCATAAATGTTTAAATTATGAATTTGTCGAAGACAAACATTAAATATTGCTTTGGGTCAAAGTCTGAAGTAAACAAGGAGCTGGAAGCATTATTTTTTTTATTCTTTTTATTTTTATTTTTTATTTTTTTTTCAGATTTAAGAAACTGATATAAACATACCTCTACATTGTTAGTTGTGGCAATCGATCCAGTTCGCATGAAGATCTTCAAGCAGAAGTTGATGAAGGCTTCTTCACTTCCTTCTGCCAATCTTCTGGCTTCTTCAATCAACTGAGAAGGACCAGAGTTCCCCAAACCAAGAAGTCTGGCAGCTGTTGGCTGCTCACAGAACTCTTCAGCAGTACACTGCAAAATCCATGCCCCAAGGCACCATTATTCATGCACTTCCTCACTTAAATATTTTCAAGATTTCATAATTCTATTACATGTTAATTGTCTGTAAATGATAAAGCTCACACTCTATGATCACTTATTCTTCAGAAGAACATTATGCATTCATAGCCTTAAATATTTTGAATTAAAATATGTAGCTATTCATCTTTCCTGTTTAAAACTTTTGAAAACAATAACTCAGACCATAGGTCTAATGTGCCTGTCTGTCTGCTAATTGACTCACACAACAGTTACAACATTTTGCTTCAATATAGGGCAAGAAGATTTACCTTAATTGGACTGACAAGGGACTCAACGTGCTTCAGAGGGCTCACTCCAGATCCAGGGACCTGTGTAACCTCCTCTTCATCCTCCTCCTCCTCTTCATCCTCATCCTCATCATCTTCGTCTTCATCATCATCATCATCATCTTCCTCATCCTCATTGTCTGGATCCTCATCATCCTCAAGGGAGTCAAGGGCCTCCAACTGACCCAAGTCATTCAAAAGGCTAACGAGCATTTCCCGTCCATCCTCACCTGTGCAGGATGAGTATACATCATTTGAGTATCACTTACACTAAGAATATAAAACCTCACCTGTCAGAATACTAAGAACAAAATGTTGGAGAACAAAGACATTACTTAACCCCTTGGTGACAGGTGAAGAAAACTAAAAACAAAACTACGCTCTGGAGATCAATGGCAATGCGCCAACTTTGAGTGCGGGAGTTCGGTACATCAAGTGCCGTATAGCCTCAAGCCACAGATCAAGCGGTTTGTTTTCACACCTCGCAGCATGTTCCGTCAGGAAAGGGTTAACAATTCAGCTATTAAATTAATAATTCTCAGAATAAATTTCTAATATTAGAGAGTCACTCACCAAACTGATTGCAGTCCAGCATGAGCTTGTCCAAGTTCTCTTTATCTGCCATGGCTTCAGCAATTGCCAATCCACCTTTGATGTTAATCTCATTACTGTCCAAGAACAGCTCCTGTAACAGAACAGGTCCTGATCAGTCCAGAATATGAATACATACATATAAACATTGATCACATACGTATAAGTGTATTTTGCACGTATGAGACTCCTGGCCATTGACCTACCCTCAGATTCTTGTGTCCTGAGGCTAAGGCTTTGGCAATCATCTTGGCTCCTGCTGTTTTGATGAGGCAATCTCCAAAATTGATCACCTCCAAGTTCTGCATCATTGGCAATTTGTCTGCCATTGCCTGAGCGCCCTTGGGGGTAAAGGTGCTGAAAGAATAAACATCGACTTAAAAATTAATGACACACAGAACACATTATAATCAACTTCAATAACACCTTAAACAGAGATACAAAAGCTGTACTGACAGACTCACTTGTCATTGAGGTTGACTACCCGGAGGTTCTTGTTGGTACTGAATGCATCTGCAAGGGCTGCAATCCCCTCATGGAAGATGCCATTCTGGGGCATGGCAACTTCTTCCAGGGTGCCTACAGCCTTGAAGAACTTTGCATAAACCTTGGCACCTTCTTTCTCAAGCCTGTTGCGACCAGCTATAAATACCTGTCATGCAGAGTAAAAGCAGTTGTTGTAATTGGTCAGTGCTACTTGAACTGACAACTTAACTCATTACTTGTTACAAAATAAATGTTACTTATGACAAAAATAATAAAATAAATAAAAAAAAATAATAATAATAATAATAATATGACATGGCAAAACTGATAAGGTATCAACATCACTTGTACCTAGGAGAATTTCTGAATGGTGGGATCTTGCAAGTGGAAAATGTCAGATATAAACCCCTCCCCCCACACACACACACATACACATTCCATTTCACTGGTATTTGAAGGAACATGTCATACATGCCATATGATACAGAAAACCAGAAGTGAATTAACATAACATTCTCAATGGTTATACAATAGTAATAATCTGATATATTATAACAATCAACTACACAGATATTTATGTCAGCTAAATGAGAAAACAAAATAGATTCTAATGACTGACCTTAAGAGTTAGTGGCGTTCCAGCAGCTTTTGCGTTATCCACCAGCCTCATAAGCGACTCGGCAAGCATAGTACCTCCCTTAATGCCCAGTCCATTGTTGTTCAGCCTCAGCTCCTGCAAGTTATCATAAAAGTTATTAGTATTCAGAATTCTTTTTAGAACTGTACCTTACCAAATCTTGTTAGTCTGAAGAGCACTCCTACTAAATGGTGTCCTTTTCATATTTTCAATTCCTTGACCTATCTTTAAACTTTATAAATTACCCA